TTGAAACTGTTGATGCATCGAAGACACGGTTTGAGACAAAGCGCTGACGAGTAGACGTTCTAAAAGCTTCCTTCTGCAATTTGAAGTTATGGTCTCTGAGATTGTTCGTTGCCAGACGAAACAGATGGGACATGTCCACACCAAAGAAATTATGCAGTGCTCTGAAAGTGATGATGAGATCTCCTCGCATTCTTCTATCAGCAAAAGCAGGCAGGTTATATAACTAGAGGCGGTCTTCATAACTCGGCCTACGTGTGCAATAAGGCATACGCGTGGCACGACGCTAATAAGCTGTTATCGCGAACAAGGTTTGAATCCCATACCGGAGCAGCAAACTCCAGTAGGGGTCGTACGAAAGTTGTGTACCAGAAGGAGGAGGTACTAACGGTGCAACCGCTAAATGATCTTTCCATCATATATAGCAACCGCTTTGCCTTAGAGGTTATGTTCTAAATGTGCTCCGACCAGGTGAGCCGGTCATTAACTATCAGACCAAGATCTGTGTGAAGAAAAACAGTCTCTAAGGTATGTTTGGCAATCTTATATGTTAAGTTAAGCATTTCGAGAGATTTAAAGGCAGCAGCCAAAGTTCTGACCCCTTTCTGATCAGCTTGAGGTGTTCTTGAGGCACAGATGAGTTCATGGCAGTGTTATAGACTTTAGCATCATCTGCATAGATCGAACACATAGAAGAAAGTCGGGTGGGAAGGTCGGTTGTATAAAGAAGAAAAAGTATTGGCCCTAGCACAGATCCTTGCTAGGGCTATCTTTCGATTTTACTCATAATTGCGCTTGGCGTTTTTCAAGTTCTTGGAAAGGATGTTAGAGAAAGATCAATGAGATACATAATCCTGTTGTAGTCTACTTCTATGGAATGTTTGCCATAACGCTTTTTTATGCCTCAATATCCTTGAGAGGTTATGGTTAATCCACGGCTTTCTTGGTTGACTGAATATCTTTTTTCTGGCCGTATGCTTACTGACTTCCAGTTGGATTCGACGAGAGAATATATCCCACATATCTTCAGTGCTACGTAGTCTGTCAGAGTGGTCCGTAGGACCTTTGCTCTTGGTTGAAGTCTTGTAAGTCAGTAGGTCTGTCATGTCTGGTTGCCCAGATACCAAACAAAGTCAGGGAGAAAGAAGGGAAGAAGAAAGGAAAGTGCATCAATTTGGCATAGCTAGTTAGTATTCGGCAATTTCAAATTGATCCTGAAATTAATTTTGGGATTGGTTTTTTTTTATACTCCAACTACCACGAAGGCCTAAGGCCTAAGCACCCATTGGGTACCGTGGGGCTATAGGGGGATACATGGGAAAGGGGGAACGCCACACGGACTCTGGCGAGGGAACACGTGTGCATACAACATGCACACATTCTGGCTCCGCCTATGAGATCCGCCGGGTGGTACCTCCGCGTTCGACAGTCAGAGACCGTCTTCCACCTACGGACAATCACAACATCCATAGCCAAGAGAAAAATTTCTCCTGGGACGGGACTCGTACCCGCACAGCGCACGGCGACTGATCAGGAGACCGAAGAGTCTACTACTGCGGCCACTGCTGCGGTTGTTGAAGAAAAATTATAATTTTGGTTGGACCTAAAGTCGCACGATTTAATTTTGTTCACAGTGCGAGTCGCGGCCTTGTGTGCTTGCGAACTTGCTCGACTGTGTACTAATTGCATTGATATTCATATTTTTTAAAAGCCTCGCGCCTACTCGATAACTTAGGGACTCATTTAGACCGTTATAAACTCATGAGGTTTTGGGATTTTTGACCTATGGAGGAATCACTGTGCGCTGGTGTGATCTGAGGTACGAAAGTTTTTGTATGTATCAGCTTTGCTGTTGATATATGTATAAAATATTAAGCTGATATTTTAACACATGCTAAAAAAATGTTTTCGATTTCGATTCAAACTTCATTACCCTATATCTCGGTTAGGGGACATTTTTATTATTTTCATTTACATGAACTTTCCGAGTCGTATTTTAATCTGTCTAATATCCTTCCCTGTCAATAAATACCCTGTATGTATATTGCACCATATACTGCGTAATAATGGCGTACGGTGAAAATTCATATGGATGAAAGGTTTGTAACGTTTCTAATAATTGTTGGGCGTAGTCAATTTTTTAAAAATATTAGTTTTTTCTCATAATCTTCTTCCAATACCGCTGTGCACCAAACCAAAGGATCCAAATAAAACATAGCATAAGGATATACTTTTTATTTTTTCGTCTAATTTTTACATTTTTACAATCGCCTCAGTTCAAATAAAGCATTACTAAATCACATCACAAAATTGGTAACAACAGATTCGAATTATCTTATATCTACATAATAAGTATAGTTTTATATACAGCGTGTTCACCTACATATTTAAAGTACTCGTACCTATCCAGAGGAAAGTGAATTTCTTACAATGCGTTGTGTCAAGTTTAAACAGATTAGATGTACCTTTGGCCTACAGTATGATTGAACTAGAAACATGATTCCAGTGAATTTAATCAATTGTAAGAGTAATATATATAGTAATATGGTCCATTACAGTAAAGTCTATTAGATACACTAATGAAACTCAGAACTTTTTATATAAGTATTGTCAAGTACCAATATAAATGCATAGTACGCCACTGGTTTTGAACAAGAATTACCGCATTTCCATTGACGTACGGTACGTTTTTCTTCTCTCTTCCATTTTGGTAACTGAATATAGAAACACGACATAAGATTTTTGTATCTGGTCTAAAGAATAATTGAAATAATTTGTTACTGTCTTTTTGCTTTTTTGGAGATTTTTTCATACATTAATGAGGCAACAAATTTGCAAGTTTGCTGATTCAATCATAACCTTAGACCGTTTTATATAATATGTTACTACGGTAAAAGCTACGGATGAAGAAATGATTCAGTAGTAAAAAATCTATGGAGAATGACAAACGATCAGTTCTTACTGTGGCCTGTATCATAAGTATTCAATGTCGGTGGTTTTCTACCGTCAATAAATATCACATTCCATGATAAATACTGAACGATCACAGTGAATACTAATCGTGTGATATTCGCCTATTATGTGTACCATTCTAGTGTGACTCTATATTCTACTTTCACTTATTTCCTCATGATCACTACTTTTTTGTTTAACAAAATACAGTACCTACATATATACACGTGGGATGAATATACCTACAATGCTTATTGCAACGCTGCGAAATTGCACTTCAAAGATCAAGGTTGTTGCGTTCTAATATATCTAAAACTGTTTTCGATCTCCTTTTAAATACCGGGTGATTAAAAATGTGAAATGAAAGCAGGTACAACGGGGTGCAAAACAAATTGTGTTTTTCCCCATCTTGGGGATACATGAAATAAGTGGCAACCACGCACCGCAGGTGTCAGGTGAATCATGGATGTGCTGAACTGACGTAGCATTTTCCTTGCATTAAGAATGAGTAATTTGAATTTCGGCCGAGAGAACTTGCTTTTCCAAAATGGCGGTACTGTGGAGCATGGTTGCCACTCCGGAAATATGCTGAATATTTGAATTGCAACAGCATGTTTAATCAGTGATCCGTAAAAATGACAGACATGCTTTTGGTGTATGTGAAATCAGTGATTCGTGAAAATAACATACATACTTTTGGCATATGTGAAACAAGTTTGTCACTTTTTATTATTTGGTCATTAAGCCAATAAAAGTCTTTCCAGTAACCAGGTTTTTTGAAAGAGTATGTACAGCGAGGTCAAGAAAACTTTTGAATCGCCTTGTTTAGTAAACTGATTTTTGTCATAGGATTTTGTTTTGAACAACAGGTAGGCAGCTCCATATTAAAATCATCATGGCAGATACAATATACTATCATTTTTTGTGTATGTTCTCTTCCATTGTAATACTGTTCCCATACATGCGTACCTTCAGAAATAAAAATAAGTGCGCTGCTTCTCCATATTGTGGTCGGGTATCGAAAAGCGAAGAGTGGCATTACACATCGTACGCCACTGCTAATGCGGTATGTCTTTCAATATACAGAGTCCGCGCGCACCGATCAAATAATGTCAAAGGCGCGCTGCGTGAGCAGTGGTACACGATACGTTATGCTACAATCTTCCGTTTTGGTACCCGACCATAGCAAACATTGAAGTGAAGTGGTCTTCCGTTACCGATGTTGGTCGATCCTTGATTTGAAACCACACGCACTGCGTGGTTACGAGTTGTTCCCATTTTCCCTAAAATGGGGAGGACGTTGCGCAGTTATAATTGCCTCCGACAACACGTAACTGGGGAAGTACTAAAAATGATTATATTGCGCCTCGCCTTCATAAATAAGAATAAGTGTAGTAGCTCTGCTTGCAGACAAATCTCACACAGTTCAAAGCAAATTTTCTCACCCTGGATACAGTCCTGTCGTTACCATCACTCCGTCGAACGCTCATACTTTGTTTGTGTGTCGAATCGAGCAGTTCGTTCCCGGTTAGTGCGTACCTTAGTGCCGGGATTTTTTCAAATTCTGGGTGTCATGCCCAAAAAATCAATTAAGCGAAGGTACCGCAGCCTTTCACGCGAATCTAGCGCGGAAAATGCAAGGAAGTATACCCATTCTCTAAGCAGGCATCGATGAGGGTACCTATTTATTTCGTCTGATACCAATGAGTGTACCCAATTATGTCGCCTGGTACCAATGAGTGTACTTACGTATTTTGCCGGGTATCGATGAGAGTACCTTTTTTGTTTTTGGCTGGATGATAAGGTATCAATGAGCATACCTTCCGTTTATCCCGCTCTTCACAGTTTCTGGTCAGGTTGGGACAACGTGTTACATTAGGGTTGATGATACACTAACACATCCAGGTGGAATAAATATGAGTAACATTCGTACCTTTTTTCGTACTTCATTCTCCCGCCCTTTACTCTACCCTACCCAATATGTTGCAACAAAGCTTTGAACAGGTATGAGCGTTCGACGGAGTGGTGGTAAGGACAGGACTGTATCCAGGGTGAGAAAATTTGCTTTGAACTGTGTGAGACTTGACTGCAAGCAGAGCTACTACACTTATTCTTATTTATTCCGGCGAGGCTCATATAATTAGGATTAAACTTCACTTAGGTAAGTTCGTTTAATCTCTCAATTTTTGCTTCTTTTCGATTCGAATCGTACAACACAAAATCCTAGATCTACGACGCTCCATTGGCCTCCTTCGCCGCTGCAGCTGCCGCGTCTGCCGCCTTATCCTCGTCGTGCTTACGTTGCAACGCCGCCTGCAGCGTGAGAGGCGGCAACAGTGGAAAATTCAATCCGGCCGCCGCGGCCTGTTGGAAGTTAGCGACATGCTGGAGACTTTGCAACAGCGCGGCGCTGTGTTCCTGAGCTTTGCGGCGCAGTTCGGCAACGCTGGACGTGCGCTGATCGCCAGCGGCGGCAGATGTCGGGGAGAGTGGGGCAGAATCTCCGCTGACTGATGAGAGAAGACTGGAGCCTAGCCCAGCCATCGGTTTGATGGGGCAGCAGGAACATAGGCCGGGAAAACCTGAAACAAACACGATGATTCGTTAATGTCAAGTTATTTATTATTTAGACAATTGAAAAAAAAAATGCGGACCTTCAAGTGTTGATTGGAAAAACCGCTATCAAATCGGGTCAACCACTAAGAAGTTTTTGTCTCGAGCTTAAAAGTCAGACAGATAAATGTGTTAGTTGAACGACTCGATTTTCATTGATTGAAATTTAGTAATCTGCAAGTCAAACCCTTCCGTCTGAAACGCCCGTCAGGTATATTCATTTATTTTGGGTTACCTAAACACACATTCACCTCCTGCTTCCCCTCACTCCTCTCCGTTACTGTCAAACAGATGAATAGATTTTCATCAAACACAGCTGAGAACCACCTCGCCAGATTAAGAAAATTTTGTCAAGTAGATTGACTCCGTACTTTCCACATAATTTGACTTTGAGTATGCAGCATTGCACAAACGATATCTTTATTCTTTCACGGTTATAAATTTTCTTATACCTTGAAAAAAGTCGGTAGAGCAGAATGAGTATCAATAAAAGACATTATCGTTGACTCAAAAAAAAAGATATTACTTTAAATATAATATTATAATAATAATAATCAGCTTTATTTATAATGATACATTATAAATGGGCGAAGTTTAGCCTCGAATATTCTTCCACTTAACCCTGGTGTGACATTGGTTACTAGAAATTTTTGTACATATATTAAAATATTAAGATAAAGCAATGTAAAAGATTAATATTAGAAACGGGTACAATTACATATGCAGAAGGCGCAACTTCAAATTTACTTTAAACGTTAGGTAGAGGATTGTGTGAGCAGATTGTATCAAATGTGAATATAGAAGTTTTTTGTTGAGGCATAGTGAACATATCTGGTAAAAGAATAATTTTGTTGGGGTGGATTATATCCTCACTAGGAATGAATTTTTTGTACAAGTATAAAGTATTATGTACGATGGCAAGCAATAAATATTTGAATAAGTCTTTATTAACTCTTAGCCAGTTCATATCAAAGTTATAGCCTGATGTGTGACCATATCTTGTTAGATTGTTTATCAGACATTTTTTTGAATTTCCTGCAAACGTTTTGCTTTATATTGGTCTAGACAGGGATAATATAACGGCATACAATGAAGAATTCTGCAAATAAGTAGTCTTTCACATAAAATTTTCTTGAAAAACTTGGTAAAAATGTTTTAGCCTTAATGCTAAGTACCAGTTTTTAACTATAAAGACGAGGTGATCTCGGAACCTTATTTTATCATAAAATAGCACCCAGAAGTTTTTTACACGGTCTGATAATTTCAACTGTGATTGATACAAATTTGCATGTTTTCCTTCAAAAAATTGGCCAGAATCAATTCATTTGGCTTTTTCAGTCTTCATTTTGAGAGCATTGCCCTTTCCATAATCATAGATTACTTCTAGATCCTTGTTTGTAAGTGAGTTAGCGTTTTCATTATTCTTTGGATGAAATGGTAGATACATTCATGTCATCGTCGTAGGCCATTATTTTGCAATTCTTAACAGCTTCAGTCAAATTTAAGGTGTATAATTTTAATAGTAGTAGTCCTAAAACAGAACCGTATGGCTCGCCAGATTTTATAAGCTCAAGTGATGAAATTTTGTCGCTTAATGAAACTTTTTGTACATCTATCAACTAAATAGTGCCAAAAAAAGTTCACCATCTTTTCGGAAAGTTACTTCAATTTTGATAAAAGTTAATGATTAATTGTAACGAAAGATTTTGAAAAATCAAGAAGCAATAAAAGTGTAGCATAGCCTATCAAAAGTATGTCAACATTTATCGATAGCTGCTGTTTTTCTATATATATATATATATATACAGGGTGACTTTGAAGTTGAGTCATTAATTTTCAGATAATGATTGTAGAAGGAAGATAAACCAAAATATGTGTGTAAAAATAAAAAAAAAATTACCTTGTTTTATAAAGTATCCTCCCGACAAGTATTTCAGTGCGGACCTGTATTTGATCATGAGGTCTTGGAGCACCGGCATGCCGTCCCCATGTGAGGTCTTAAGTCACCTGATTCACGAGCCCGTTGCACTACATTAACAAAGGCACGAGGGGTTGGTTGCACTCGATTGGGAAACCGATCCGCATAAATTTGTGCCATTTTTTATTTCGTTTGAGCCACGCAACAGACACCAATATTCACTCACGCGTTACCGACTGACACTGACTGTATACAACTGAATGAAATAATTGTAAAAACATCGTTCCAAATTCTTTCGCTTTTTTGTTTCCGATGCGATGAACCGATAAGGCGGATTATATCCGTTGTCGCCAAACACGAGCACATAATATTATTATTGAGACAGGGCGGCACTCAAACTTCCAAAGGGCTATAACTTTGTTACTTTAATTTTACCAGAAAAATGGTAAAGGAAAAAAACATTTCTTTTGATCAGATCTACTCACTGTTAAAATAAATGACTCAACTTCGAAGTCACCCTGGAAGTTTGACTACCTCCCTGCCCCAATAATAATATTATGTGCTCGTGTTTGGCGACAACGGATATAATCCGCCTTATCAGTTCATCGCATCGGAAACAAAAAAGCGAAACAATTTGGAACGATGTTTTTACAATTATTTTATTCAGTTGGATACAGTCAGTGTCAGTCAGTCAGTCGGTAACGAGTGAGTGAATCAGGTGACTTAAGACCTCACAGGGGACGGCATGCCGGTGCTCCAAGACCTCACGATCAAATATAGGTCCGCACTGAAATACTTGTCGGGAGGATACTTTATAAAACAAGGTAAATTTTTTTTTATTTTTTTTTATTTTTACACACATATTTTGGTTTATCTTCCTTCTACAATCATTATCTGAAAATTAATGACTCAACTTCAAAGTATATAAATCCAGATTGTTGATATGAAGGTAGATTATTTATAGCTAATTAAGTATTAAACTAGAAAACAGTCTTTTTAAGTAATTTGAATAAACCAGAAAGTAAACTGATTATTCTTAGATCACTGTAGCATTTGGGAGAAGCGTTTTTTCGGACTGGAAAGATAAGTGACGCTTATATGCACCATAGTATCTGTCAACTCTCGTACATAAATATTATGCAAAATACAGGAGACATTGTGTCTAACTGGATGATACCACCAAAATCACAAATTTCTGAATAATAAAACGTCTTTCAGTGATGCCAACCCGCTACTGCCTTCAACACCCAATTTTCAAATCCAACATTTTGAAAAGGATTATGAGCCTTTGAACCAAACTTTGAGCGATTTTATTTTTTTTGTTTCTTGTACCTAGTTCCGCCGCCACTGGATCGATTTTCAAAATCTACAAAGCTGTTTCGTCCTTGGCCTATGCCAAATAGCAACCTGGTGTGAAAATATCAAAATCCCATCGGTACTTGCCAAGTTATAGTGGGACCAAGAATTACCGAACAGACAGGCAGAAATAAATGATGTACATATAAAATAAAATGAAAAATATCTGATTTTTGATATTTTTCAAAATTTTGATATTTTCTCGCCAGTGCCAGTGCAGTGGCGTGGGAAGTAAGAAACCGCAATCAAATCGATTGATCCGTTTGGGACTCTAGGGTTTAAAATCATACAGAAAATGGAAAAGCTTTTAAACGACTACTTTTCATTGAAAATCCTACTTAGCAATCTACAAATTAGACCTTTTCCTCTGATGTTCCATTCAGGCATATTCATTTAGTTTCGATTAAACAAGTAGTCATTATTTAAGAATACAAAAAACGTGAAAAGAATGAAGTGTTAGTTGCTAGTGCTATCAAGACGAACCTAAGCACACCTGAAATGTTAAAATTCACCAAGCCGTTTATATCCCGTGAGACAGACATTTCAAACTTGAAGTTTGCGTTCGAAATCTACCATATAGATTTTATAAAATTTCCACCCTGCATTTCAGCAAAGGAGCATTTAATGTCAGCCCTAAAAGTATTGATACTATTATTTGAAATCATTATGTAAGTATTCACCGTTTTTCTGCAAATTGATAATATCCCGCTGCCAGCATGCCATCGTAATAACGTTATAACTCCAAGAGCCCCATCTTTATCAAATTTAAAGTTGAAAAGTATGCTCGGTGTAAATTTCGCGTGATCTCAGGTGTAAAGTGGCTACAAACTAGGCCATCACGGGCCAATTTCGCTTTATTATAAGTGGATGGCAGCATCTAGATGACTGCTTGAACAAGCTGTAAACAGTGCTAATCTAATTTATTAAGGAATGTATATTGATTCATCTTAAAAATGCCATATATAGGGTGGAAGAAAAATTGAATAATGTAAAGGCCTAAATAAATACGATAATTATTTTATTAAATTCGTTTTTTGTTATATCTATCTAATTAAATGATAGAGCAAAGTACCCTAAACCGGACCCCTCCCCAAAGAAGGACCTCACGTGTCATCGCATTCGCATTCTGTGACGATACATTGACCCAAGGGTAAATAGTAGCTTAGGTACGTTGACTATGTTCTTCCCACGCTACGCTGTCATCAATTTGTAAAAGATTATGTTTGAAACAAGTTAGCCCCTCTGAAAAAAGTATCTACGCTCATGTATAACAAAAATCAAATAACATCCCTCCTCCTCCTGAGAGGAAATGCTGCAGATCATTGAGATGACCAATCCCACGTGAATGACATTAGCCTTTGCCATTCACAGTGCTCATACATACAGCGATTGCCGACTGTGACGTACGACCATCGACGATGACGCTTGTCCATCGGTGGACCACGTTGCTCGTATCTACACCCGACTTTAGGATATTTCCAAGTTTTAAGGGAAAATGTACGGGGACATTCATGATGAGTGATACATGCCTAATATGTGCGTGAAATTACTGACGTAACCTCCCCCACATCCTGCAACCCCCAATCACCAATTTTTAACCCCTACAAGTATTTTACCGAAAAAGGTCGGGATCGTCTGATTCGAAGTTCGTGTGATTTTTTTTGTTTTTTTTTTTACCTATTTTAAAAAACTACAAAGCTTTTGCGTCCTTAGAATAGTAGTAACATTGTGCAAAAATTTCATCGAAATCGAAGCGGAACTGCTCAAGTTATAGGCGGTTATAAGAAGCGGACAGACAGACGAAAATGAGTGACATTATTTTTCGTGATGTATATCTCATTTTCGTAATTACAGTAATTCCCCACCAGGAGGCGTGGCAAGTAAAAAGGAAAAAGGTTTTCATTATTACAGGTATTTGCAACTACACACATATTCTCTTAAATCGTAAAACCATAGGTTTGTCTTTCTTATGAAATTGGCTCATTTAGATCTTTGATAAAAATGTTACTGCATAAATAAGTTTTCTGTTTTTGTTATGGTATCACTCTAGAATGACTAAAGTGCCTTTTGAAATAAGAGAATGGGATGGAAGAAGGCAGGGATCAGGAAAAGAATTGTATGTCTGCGATTTTTATCAGTAAAGAATTAAAATGTATGTGGGTATTTCTCAACAAAATTAGGAATTCAATTTTGCACTTCTTAAAAACAAATTATGAAAATATATCCTTTCTTTTGCAGAAATATAAAGTTTCTCTTTAGTGAGGTTCATTAAAAATGAAGGTCCTCCATATTTTTGTGTATAACATGTAGAAAAAATGACTTAAAAACTATGAAATGAGGGAATGACTGATAGGATCGGGAAATGATTTTTACAACAATTTGATGCTGAATTTCAATAAAAAACATAAGTTAATTTATTAATAGATGTATTGAGATTTAATAATAATAATAATAATAATTAACGTCTTTTATTTGTAATATTCTTTGTTTTATAGTTTAGAAAACTTAGATAGTCCTTCTTCCCTGGGCACATCCTCGTATCATTATTTTTAGTTTTCAATCTCAAACACCTCTTCTTGTATTTTTCGCTAAGCCTGACTGCGTTCCTTACTTTATTTTCCAAACTTTTAATCTTCGCGTATAGAATAGTTCGCCGCTTGCGCATTCTGTATCTATTGAGAGAAGACAAATTCTCTGCTCTGTGCTGTAAAGATGGTGCAGGACTTGGTGGGGATGTTTCTTCAACTATTGTCTGTAAATTTGTTTGTAATGTAACTCGCTTTTCCCTATAAACTCTACTACTCTTTTTCCATTGTTTTCGTTTTTGGCTAGTCTCCCTTCCACTCGTAGAACTTACTGACTTAACTTGTTTAAACACTTTAATCTTTCTTTTTCACGCAAAGCTTCTAAAAACTCAGCATTAATTTTCATTTGTTCTCGCCTCTTGCTGTCGTAGTTTTAATTTCTTTTCTTCTTCCTTTTAATATAAACAGTGAGGTAATGATACAGAGAAATGTAATGCTCTAATTATTGAAATCCAATACTTTTTTGCAGCAACTCTTTTCACTATTAAGAAATTCCGCCATGTTGACATTATTAGCAGTATTGACGAGTTTTGAAAACATAACAGCTGCGTCCAAAAATATCAAATGGTGTGACCATAAATCGAATATTTATAATGGGTGAGGGAATAAATTCATTTCAAGGGACATAGTTTAAATAGCTTTTTTTATATACATATTTATTTTTAGCAATGAAAGCTAGAGTATTCAATCCATGCTTACTACAAAATATTTTAGTAATATTCAATTTATAAGAATATGAACAGATTTGAATGTATATATCTTTTTATTATTAATTTCAGACCCAGGGACGAGATGAGTGAATTACCTTTAGACTAATAAGTTAGTCGTATTTTTTTGTGTCAATATATTATCTAAATTCTTGCTTTTAAAATATAATATAATATAATAATATAACATAAACATATTAAATTGATGATAAATCCATGCTACTTAGCATCAATGGATCAGGACATGAATTTCGAAATTTGCTGAGAAATACCCATGTAACTGTTAAGAGCCGGCTGCAGATTTTTGTGCGCCCTGAGGCAAGGGATGAAATATGCGCCAAAATATGCCCCCCTCCCCGATTTAAGAAGATATCTAGAGAAGGGGGGCAGTGATTCACGTCCGTTGTTGTTTCATATTCCATGTTTTATTCCCCATTTTTAGTATTAGTTTTATTTAAGCTTTAAATCAACAAATATTCAAAACTACTGAACTGAGGTACATTAATTTTATATCATTATAAAGGGAATAGAAATACCTTTCCACTTAAGATTTTGGGGGTGGTGTCACCCCCGCTTAGGGGGCTGTACGTGCTAACGTAACAAAATCGACGGGTCTGAGCGTTTTTCCAAAAAAAAACTGAGCTGCCAGTAAATGTGTCTGTTTCGTTTTCGATGCGCCACCCTGTATATGTCTTGCAGGCGGCACCCCAGGCTGTGATACCGTATATTATATGGGTTTCAACTAAGGCATGGTATAGGATTCGCAGATAACTTTCTGTTAGAATGTTAGCAAGCATTTTGAGTTTATAGGCAACATTTCTAATTTTTTTGATAACATATTTACATAATATGATTATCACACCTTAAATGTGTGTCCATTAATATTTCAAGATATTTCAAGGTGTTAGCTCTATCGATTTTTGTTTTTTGGCCAAGATAATTAATGGAAATTTGTTCGAAGGTAGGTAAACATTTTAAATAGGATGTAAATGCAATAAATTTTGTATTTTTGAAGTTAACTATTGAGATTTTAGTATCAAACCAGTCAATGATCCTTATAAAATCCTTTTCAGGTATTTGCTTCAGTATGCTCCAGTCATCAGCTTTATATAATATGAGGGTGTCGTCTGCAAAACATATAATCTTTCCAGTACTGTTAATTTTGAATAAGTGATTTAAGTAGAGGCTAAATAATAATGTGCCTAGTACTGTTCCTTGAGGCACATCAGACTTGATGTACATTTTTTTACTGTAAGTGATTATTTTAAATGATTTGTGACATTCCCCTAAATCCCAATCTTTCCATAACTTTTAGAAGCTCGACATGGTTAACCGTAGCTAACCATTAGAGTTAATTTCATCCATTGCATCCAAATTTGCGTCTGTAACGTTATTCGTTGCTATAAATATGTTACTTACCAAAAATGTTACTACATGATATGATCGATAACATGATTTTCAATGACCACGAAATAACTAAACTTGGTTGCTGGGAAAGATTTTCCGACATTTTCCACGATACGAAAACGCGTAGCCCTTTCTACATCCCGAACGGACGATATAAGCTAGTTCCATCTGCTTGTGTCCTTCGTTATCTCGAGCATAACTATCAAAATTGTCATATGACATCATATCACTGTTAACCAAACACGCAAAAAGCACTAGTGTGGACAGAAAAATTAGGAACTTTCGACTAAGTCGCGGCATCTTGAACGACGGATACCAAAATGATATAAGTTGGAATGTAAGCTGCTCACTAGATAAGATCAGTGCAAGAGGTTATGTTTACATCATCAATTACTTTATTATTATCTGTTAGGATAAATTAATATTAATGGTGTTTTCTTCATTATATCCTTTATAAAGTGTGCAAATTAGAGATCATTTGTATTTCCTAGAAATTTACCATCTTGTCCATTTTTTGTTCCTTATTCAAAGATCACAGCTCAATAGGTCTCTCATCAGGCTCTTCGATCTACTAAATGAGTAATTGTCGGTTAAGATTACAGATGTTAGTGTTGAAATAGATACCTCAATGAACATCTGCTTCAAATGCAGTTTATATACCTATTCAGTGACAAAGAAAATAGAACACCCAGTGAAAATGATTCGATTTGGATGGAGTTCTATATAAAATAGACATAAGTAAGAGGAAGTCGTGATTAAGTGAATACGTTTGCTAAATCGCTGGCTTTCCCTAATAATGTGTCGTGACATCCTGGTATCGTATATATTCGTCCTGTCATAAGGAAATAAGAGGTCTGTAAATTAAGTGAACGTAGCGTTCGATCTGGCAACAGTGGAGGCGCCGAGATTAAAGGGGAGACAGGGGAACATTTGATCCGCCTTCAGTACAAATTTGAACTCGCTCGAATCATTTGGTCGTTCGTAGCTATTTTTTTTGTGAAAAAGTTTTCCTATAGTGTTCTAAAAATAAATGACATTGATTTCGAGCGTTGAGTAGGTTAAGTAGTGTGGGTTACCTACTTTCAGGGGGTATTGTCAAGCCGTTTCCGCTTATTACAAAGTAATTAAGACGGGAAATAATAAACGGCAGTGTAAGAACAGAATGCATATATAAGTTTTCAAACAAGAAACAATGTAGTATCCCCTTCTTTCCTCTTCCCTCATTTTTCGCTGCACTTTTGATGTCTTGAAAGGAGGAGCAATGGCACCATTGCCCCCTTTGATCCGCGCCTTCACGTTACCACTAAACCAGTTAGTAACTGTTTCTTTCAACATGTCAATTTCTCAAGTGCTTTCCACCAAGAAATTCCTCAAGTTTTGAAAAAAGATGAAAGTGGGATGGTGTGCGCTGTATAGTGGATGATCCAGTAATTCCCAACGAAACGTGGCCAGTTGTGTCTGTGTTCTTGCAGCAACGTAAGGCCGAGCGTTGTCGTGAAGCAGAACGACGTCGCCGGTGGTTTTGAATAGCAGAATAGCGCGTGTAGTTCATGTTGGTGAATTTCAACAAAAGCAATGTTTATGTGTTTAAGAATCGAATTACTTAGCACACTCCAACCGTGGGGTTGGCTGATTGAAATAGCAACAAATAAATCAGTATAAACCGACGTGAAACGTAATGGTGCTGTAGTGACAGACGGGCCAAAAGTGTCTGAGGTTGACTGGACGTCACGTGACTCTATGCGCGGGTATCATGCGCAATAGGTATTTACATTAAAGATGGCCTTTGTATGGTGTGGAGAAGAGTGGCGATTTTATTTCATTCTCCACCAATGGTAGTAGCTGTTCGAAATCAAGTACAGCTAACTTGGGATAGGATTCCTTAAGGGAACATAAATAACCTCCTCACAAACATGCCCAGATGACTGGACTGGGTCTCGCTATTAGCGAAATCTAATGATACCGCAAATTTTTTAGCAACAAAATCTAATAATAATTTCCTATACCTATACTAAGTGACATATAAACCCGAACACCCAGTTTAAATGGTTTTATTTTAATAAAATTTTGTATAAGTACTTAATGAAGCATAATAAGTAAATGATAAAAATTTCAAAATGATTGCACTGCTTTAAAGCCCTTTGACCTTTAATAATGTATTGATGCACCCTGATGTGCTACGCATTCTCCAACGCGCCTAGGCATGCTTCTGATCAGGTGGTCAATGTCCTCCTGTGGTATCTCATTCCAGGCAACCACCAACTCCTCTCGAAGTGCTTCTAGAGTCTGAGGAGTATGTATGCAAATTGAGCAATCTCCTACCCATCATATCCCACACGTGCTCAATTGGGGATAAGTCGGGAGATCTTGGTGGCCCTGGTAACAATGTGACATTATTATGTTGAAAGAAGTCTATTGTGACTCTTGCAACATGTGGTCGGGCATTATCTTGTTGGAAAGTTGGATCTGCCAGGGTGTCAAGATAGGGTAAAAGATGGGGTTCTAGAACTTCGTGGATATAACGCTGCGCGTTCATGTTACCTCTGATGAAGATTAAAGGTGACCTGGAACCATAAGCTATAGCACCCCAAAACCATAACTCCAACAGTGTGATGAACATGTCTTTCAACAAAAAACTGTGGATTCCTCCTTTCACCACGTCGCCTGCTAACCCTGGCACGACCATCGTGCATGCCTAAACAAAATCGAGACTCGTCACTAAAGACAATACTGTTCCATTCCTGATCCCAGAGTGACCGTTGTCTGCACCACTCAAGGCGATTACGTCGGTGTTCTCGAGTTAAAGGGAGGACCCAGTGTGGCCGGTATGAAAACAAGCCAAAACTTCTCATTCGTCGGTAAACACTTCGCATGCCAATAGGTCTTCCGTGTTCTGCAAACCATTCATTTGCAATGAACCTGGTAGTGGAGAAACGGTCCCTTAAGGCCAATAATCTTAGGCGGCGATCTTCACGGTCTGTTGTTCTACGGCGGCGTCCAGTGCCCCTTGCTCTTTGCGTACGGCCTTCTCGAAGCCATGACTGACAACACCTAACCACAGTGTCTACACTTCTTTGCACTCTAACTGCAATTGCCCGAAAAGAAAGTCCAGCTTCCCGAAGTCCCACTATACGGCCCCTATCAAACTCACTAAGTTGACGAAATCGTACAGGTCTCCGTACTCTAGGCATCGTAACCGATCGTAAAGGATGTCAAGGACCAGAATCCGCCAACGTTGATTCTTTACTGCGGCTGAAATATTCATTTTTAGAGCGTTAGTGAATTAAAAAAAAGCAGTATAAAACCGGAATGTCCAATTGATAAGGCTGAAATTTTTTTCACTTGTTATTTACAGTAAGATAAATACATTCACCAACTTTTATTAAAATAAAACCATTTAAACTGGGTGTTCGGATTTATATGTCACTTAGTATATATCCAACTGTATATAAAACTTCATTCAAATAACATTATTTTTGCTGGATGTTCCATTTTCTCTACTGCCTGATTATAGGTATATCTATGCCTGCCGGAGATATTTATATTCTAGTTCAATGGTAAGATTTTTTTCTATACAATGTTGCCTGAAATAACCAAAAATTTACTTAAAAACGATACGTTTTGTTGCTAGTATCACGTAGAAAATAAATCTCACAAAAAATTTTATGGGAAAATCCAAATCGGCCAAATTTTATTTCGCAATGTTATTACGTCACTCCTACATTTTGCTACTGTATTTAGAATTTGTGAACGTAGTCAGGACAAAATTCACCAATATTTACTTGAATTCAGTCAATACATGTTTATTTTTCTGTTTTACGAGCTTATTTCAAATAAGGCTGAAAGAAACGGATGGCAAAAAAATTCAAAAATTACTCACACTAAGAGCGCCTACTTCATCACTCAAAACTTCGGTCTACAAAATCCTGGTCCTAGTGAAACCATTCCATCGTCACAATTATCCCTAGTTCTTACAATATTCGCGGCGTCTGCTGTCCTGTTTCTCACATAATCAGCAAACTGTTCGTAGGTCATCCAAATTGACATGACAGATTGAAATAGGCACAACAGTAGCAAAAAATGGACAATTTTCCGCATGATAGAAACGCAACACCGCTAGACACCCTAGAAGCTAACGGTGGGAGACACTTTTCAAATGCTTGGTAAGGTAGAAGCTAACTCTCAAATTGATGAAAACCCGTTTTTACATGATAGGAGCTTAGTACTGTGAGATGCGTTTCAAATACTTGATTCCTAACCTGAATTACCTGTTTCCTATCGATATCTTGCCGACAATGTTTGGCTTGTACTTTTACTGTTGACGTAGTATCTGTGTTTAGATAAGATCGTGTATGATTGAGTAATTTGTATTGATTCTATGAATGGGCATGAATTGGGGAAATTCTCTACGGAATTATAAAAATGATTTGTGGAATCAAGGCTTATCAAATCATAAAAAATGTCTTCTTATGTCTCTCTGGTCGATAATGATGACATTTTGACACAAGGTTGGTTATGCTACATGCGTAAAGCATTATAGGTTTGGAAATGGAAGTTAGGAGTGAAAAAATGAAAGACAGCAGGTCCTCAAGCTTTGTTTCTGATATTTGGAAATTTCTGGGCGGTATCCAGTTTCAGAGATGTCGGCCTTTCAAAAAACTTCTGTCTTGTTTCTGGGTTACCAGACCTGACAGACTTACAAACTGACACTGTGATTCAAGAGTTAAGGTCCCACGGACCGCTCTGACAACCAACGATGATTTGACTTCGAAAAACTGTATTCATCATTGTTCTAAACTTTTTCGTTGTAGCAGAACAGAAGACTTAAAAACGTTGAAATCTAACAGCAATAATTTATATTTTACACAAGGTTACTAATATGCCAAGGACGAAAGAGCTTTATTGTTTTTAAAAATCGGTCCAGTGAAGGCGGAGAAAAGGGCCAAAATAGAAAAACTTCGAACTGGTCTGTCGGTCTGTCCGCTAATCTGATAAAGCTTTTGAAAAGCCATCCAGTGGTGGCGGATAAAAAGGCTAAAAACGAAATAGAATGCAATTCACCTGAACTTCGTTTTTTGATGTGCCAGAGAATCATTTTCAAAAACATCTTTGCCGGAGATCTTGGGGACTTTGGGGGGTGGAGGAGAGTATATGTCAATTTCTCGGTGCTAGCAATTTATACGTTTCCAACCCCGGTAATGATACGCACCTATTAGACATATTTCATTCATCATATATTTCCCCGTACATTTGTCCTTAAAACTATTTTCGATATCGAATTAAACGAACGTACGTTTGTCTGTTTCGAGTGCTGAGGGATGTATATTCGTGTATGCAACGCC